AGAGGGATACCCTAAGATCCTAAAGACCTACTATAGGAGGGCAGCGTTAGCTCCTCAAGACTTACTGTATGGAGATACTTTAGGTCCTCAACGGCCCCAATAGGAGGTTTCTCCTAGCTTCTGAATGGCTACTGTAGGGGGTTGGGCTGAAATATTCAGTTCCTAGGCCGTTCCCTACGAACAGGCAACTACCCACTCTTGATCGAAGGTCTAGCAAACATCCCAGTATATTTCCAGAGGCCTTCCCTACTTCAAACGGTGCGACACTCGGTTATACTCAGTCTGATTCTTGGGTTATTGAGGATGTTCTGTCTGTTGATGGATATATGTAGGGGTCCCCAATCGACATTTCACCTGCAGACTGTCGCAAAAAACATTTCGGATCAAAGGTCAACAAAAACAATTGTTGAAGTCACAAAATATTCTTTTCTCTCTATTTTAAGCGCTATCCATAACGTTGTCGGCACACTCTATGCTAATCAAGGATGCTCGTGGATGTCTTTTTAACCTCTGAACTCAGATGGTTTCTTCGACTGTCGATGTACAGCTGAACGGTCGATTGGGGACCTCCACATATATCCATCAATCGATAGAGCATCCTCGATAACCAGATGACGGGCCCGAATATCACTCAGTATTGTCCTTACATAAGGAAGAAAAGACCCCTGAAATATTAACGGATATTTTTTTGATCCCAGTGGTTTTTTGCGACTTGTGGATTATGGGTGAAGGAATTTATGGGAATCCCCACATGTATCCATCAATCAACAGAGTATCCCCAATGACCCTAGGATCGGCCCGAACATGGCTATGTGCTGTCCGTACAATAAGCAAGAAAAGCCCTTCTGAAATCTGATTGGTCAACTTTTGAACCAATTAAACGGCAGAACTTTATATCTCTGTGAAGGGACGGTTGGAGACCCTCACATATACCCATCAATCGATAGAGCATCTTCGATAAACCTAGGATCGGCCCGAACATGACTGTGTTGTCCTTACAATAAGGAAGAAAAGGCCTCCTAAAATTTCGATAGATGTTTTTTTGACCTTTGACCTTGACAAGCAAACAATTTTTTTTCATATGACCGTCTCTTCAATAGAGGGAATAAAGGTACGACAAAATAGCGAGCCTTCAGGACCTGAGGGTACTCCTGTATGGTAGATCTTGTGGAGCTGTGGGTACTTCTCTACAGTAGGTCATGAGAAGTTTAGAGTCGCCCACTTTAGCAGGCCTGGAGGACCTTAGAGTACCCTCCTATAGTAGATCTTGAGGATCTAAGGGTAACCCTCTATAGTGAGCCTTGAGGACCTAAGGGTATCCCTCCTTGTATTCCTTGATGTCCTTAGGGTACCCAACAAAAAGTTCGGTTCGCTCAGATGAGCTGTTGGAACGGCTCAGCTTGTTTAGAATGAGCGGTTTTAAAAGTTTGGTTCGCTCAAGTAAGCTGTTCGAATAGTTCAGCTGATTTGAAACGAACGGTTTGAGAAAGCTCAGTTCCCTCAAATAAACTGGTGGAGCAGTTCTTTCGCTCATTTAAACGGAGTTCATAAACTGAGGGTGTGTACCCCTAGTCGCATATCCCTATTTCTAGCAGTAATTGAGAACGTAGGAGTACTCTCAATAGTAACTTAAGGGTCTAAAAGTACACTAGCAGTAAGACTCGACGACTCAAGACTACGAGGTTGGTGAGAGAAGACAGTTACTTGACTGCGATCTCTGTTCTCAAGTAACTGTTAACATAGTTGCAACTTTCTACCTATAGTTGGAGGTTTATTATAAAAAGAGTTATCTGTTATTTTTTTGTTATTGATAACAATAACACAAAAGTTATTGTTATTGTTATTAATTACAATTAAATAACGATAACTTCTCAGCCCTAACTGATGCTAGCGATCACGTTTTTTCGAGCTCTATCTTAGATAAAAATTTCATAGAAAACGTTGCAACTTTACTTGGATGTTGGCATATTCACAAACTTATAATGGGTAATATATTTTTTCCTCTTCTATAGCTAGTATAAATTGGTATATCATCGCTGTTTTGTACGAAATATGTTCTTTCTAAATTTTTTTAAAACATTTAAAAGTCATATGTAAATCTTCTCGCAAAACTTGGATTTAAACAGACGTTGTACCTTAAATAACAGAGTATCATGGACTGTTGCTCTTTTTCTCTTGCAGATCAACTAGCGCCTCCTATAATTGAAACGGGTAGGCCAGAATAAACTATACCATTAGCACTTCTAATATTTCTCCTCTATTTTGCAATGAAAAAAAAAGTTTTTTGTATCAAAAAAAAGTGCTTTAAATTCAGCACAAAACAGTATATTTCATTTAATGAATATAGTTTGCTTCATTTTTTTTATTTCACGTAATCTTATAGTAAAATCAAGTGCAGAATTTAAAACTTTTGTTTTTTTGTCAACTTTTGTTACGGAACGTTCTATTTCAATCAACATTATTTTTGTTGTTATTCGATCCAATTCATACATTGAGTCAGCTCGTTCCATAAACTGTAATCCAAGGAACATAAATCAGGTGAAGTGGGTGACCAACGCTTCTTGGGGATGAAATCAGGAAAGTGCTCGGCACACCATTCTTGATTGAGATGATGTGTGTAAGGTCTAGCACCATCCTGTTGATAAGTTCAATCGCACCCTAACATCTTATCACTCCTCGTTTATTTATAATCTTATCCCCCGAATCTGTCAGAATTATTTGGACAGCAGCAAGCTAAAATTGAAATATATATACACTGACAGTCTTTCACCAGTACGGTCACAAAATGTTACATTGATAAAAACAACAAGGAAATTTCTTTGTTGATGAAAGCGTTAATTGCAAAACTCAATGTTTGGAAGAAAATTTACTATAAGAAGTACTGCATTTCATGGGTTGTCGTTATCCAAAGAGTCTCAGAGAGAAAGTCCTGATCGTTTTTCAACTGATTTATAGTTGATTTTAACTTTAATATTTCCAGGTTCCCAATCAGTATTTAACCGACAAGATATAGCATCAAATCATAAAATTCAATTACATTCAACAGTTTGCTGCTTTTTTTTTGGTTCTTAATTTATTTATCTGAATCTATATTGCAGTATAAGGGAAATATGGTTGGCTTCAACGCAAGGAATATAGAAACTATTGGTTTACCATATCATTGTCAGATGTGCTCACTAATTTTACGGGAACCTGTTCAACTTCTATGTGGGCACCGACAGTGTAAGTCCTGCATGGAATCTACGAATAGGTAAAATAAAGGTTCCTTTTGATTTCTATTATTCAACTTCATCTTTACACATCCAAGCGAAATAGTAAAATGTCGAGAATGTGAAGAAGCAACTCCAAAGAGAGAGGTGACAATCGAAAAATTCGTTGCGTCTAATCAATATTTTTTTTCGAGTGATTTAGATATTGTTTGATCGAGGTTTCAAAAATGATATGCAGAAATTGACTATTGTTTGCTACTTGTGTGACTGGAACGGGTTGCTGAAAGACTATGAGGTATAGTGACTAACATGAACATTGTTTTGATGTGATAGACTTCTGAACATTATGGAATACATCAACAGTATTATAAATTTTATACTAATGTGCAACTGAATTTGAATAGTGTAGTAGGTGACGAAAAGTTTATCTTCGATGCCTGAAATGAAAACTACCTAGTTTTTAATGAATTAAATCGAAAAGTTTGGCTTGTGGCTAGACACTTCAATAATTTCATGTTGTTTTTTTCATCGAAAATTCTTTTTTCTGCCTATGTCAGTATTAGGTCTGTAATTACAGGGTCAATCAATCAAAGCTAGTTAGCTAGTACCGAGAACAAAGGTCATTCAATCAATGTCTGACTGAATAAATATAGTTGAATAGTTACATAAACTCGATAATTAGACATTTTATTTACTAACATGGATGTATCTGATTCCAGTTAGCTTCATATTATATGATATCCATAAGGATCTATGAATTTCCATACAATTGGTTTGCATTAGAGCAGTCTATTTCGCAATACATTTCGACATATAGAACATATATTCTGTGCTCTATGGAACTCATCTGTGAATGAACGTCAGCACAATAAGGCAAAATGACAAATCGACTAGTTGAGCATGATTCTTCTGAAAAAAGTTTTCTTTATTCTATTGTATAGCAATAGTTTTGTAGTAATGTGTGATTTTTAAGATTCATCTAACGCAAGCTCATCAGAATTCCACGTGTGAATATTGTGGTAAAAGATTCGATTCAAGGGATAGGCTCGATCAACATAAAGTAAATGAATGCGATAAATTTACTGTATCTTGTGGTCTCAAAGATTTCGGCTGTTCGGAACCAATCATACGCTGTCACATGTCGACTCATTATATGACTGAACAACATCAAATGGCAATTGCTGCTGTGGTCCGTCATGTAATACTCAAACTCAGAGCTGACAGACAAGAAGAAGATTCTCGTATGAACATGGACATTGTGCCTCATTCTACTATGACTATAATTCCATCTGATACTAACAATATGAGTGCCCAGTTGCAAGAAGTTTATGAAGTGATTGATATTCTCGCTGGAGGAATTCAAATATTGAATGAAGATATACAACGTCTTAGCACTGAGTCTCTAGCGTTACAGAACGGAACAGACACGCTAAATCGCAGTATGGCAGAACTCAAACTGAGCATTCAAGAACAGAACATTTTTTTTGATGGAATGAAACCTAACCAAGAGATTCTTCAGCAGGATTTGGCATCATTAAAACAACGAGTAGATGATTTACAATTTGTTTCTTATGATGGAACATTCGTATGGAAGATAAGTTCTGTCAGAGAGAAAATGAGTAAGTTTTCTACTATATTCTATTTCGCTTACATAATTTCTCTCATTCACTATTGATTGATAAGTTACGAACATGTCATTGATTAAAGTTTTGATTTGTAGTTGATGCTGAGTCTGAGCGACAAACTTCGATTTATTCTCCTCCATTTTATTCATCTCAGACTGGCTACAAGATGCGTGCACGTTTATATTTGAATGGAGATGGAAATGCTCGTCGTACACATATGTCTCTTTTTTTTGTGCTTATGCGAAGTAAGCATGATGGTCTCTTGAAGTTCCCCTTCAACTACAAGGTAACATTTTGTTTATACGATCAAACACCGGCACAACGACATATCATCGATTCATTTCGTCCTGAGATTAGATCGAATAGTTTCCAGCGGCCACGATCCGAAATGAACATTGCAAGTGGTATTCCAAAGTTTTTTCCGTTAGCCATGATTCAACAAGAGGGAAATCCATTTGTTCGAGATGATACAATGTTTATCAAAATTATGGTCGATTTCGGAGATATGCCAAAAACTTTATTGCCATATGCACTGAGTCTCAATCCTGGGTTGCCAACTAATGTCCATCAGACTATGATTAAACAAGAAGCCGAAAGACGGACTCATCAATCTGACACTCAACCAGCTGCACCATTACAACGTAATGAGTGATTTCGTCAATTGCTTTCGTTGATATACCACTAAAAGCACCTATTATGAATAACCAAGAAAGTTGAAACTTTTTCAAAACTATGATATATATGTTGCAGGCGATATTAGAATTCAGTTGGGATTGGAATAGCCTTTTTTTATATTGAAATATGAAATATTTTTATCTATGTCTAATTTAAGGGAAAATGCAATCATATTTTCTTAATATATTTTTAAATCATTGGTACATTTGCGAGACGAAACTATTGTAGGAAAGTATTTTAAAATATTTTCTCTATCTTTTTTTTGTAATAACCGGGACATTCGGGACATTGAATTATTTTAAAGAAATTTTTGCCACAGTTATGTTTTTTTCATGAATCGAATCTGTACGGAAAACAGAGTTATGAAATTTTTTTTGATTTATAAGACTCTGGTTCACTGTTTTATAGCTGTCGGAGCAGAAGCGATCAAAAATTGGGAAAGAAGAGACATCTTTTACTTCATCATTATTTCAGTTCATTTCGTCTGTTAAGATCGTGAGATGCCTCATTTGAAAGAACTCGACAAACTACAGAAGACACCTCGAAGTGTTTCTTGAAATAAGTTTTGCCCTGAAACAGTTCTCTTCCTTAAACAGATTGGAATTTCTTCGGAGAGTGTTTTGAAAGAAACCATGTTTTTAGCATGATAAAAGACTGATTGGTATTTTAATTTGGCATATCTTCTAGAGCATTTTGGCATTTGGAAGAAAATATGATAAGAAACCTCAAAATGAGGCGTAAGGAAAGACCGAAGGAACTGTAGAACATCACTCATTGACATAAACGTCGACTGTTTTTTGGATATTTTGTTACGAATTTCTCTTAGAAAACTAGAGATTTGATCAATACAACTATCATATTCCGACTAAAGACCAAAAGTTGAATCCTTATGAATGCATCTTATGAGTTTCCCAGAAACATTTTATTCAGAAATTCACCTCTACCGCTCTGGATTTCAGGAGCAAAATGGGTGTGGGTGTGGGTGTGTGGGTGTGGGTGTGGGTGTGGGTGTGTGGGTGTGGGTGTGTGGGTGTGGGGTGTGGGTGGGTGTGGGTGTGGATGTGGGTGTGGGTGGCGGTGTGGGGTGGGTGG